ATGGAGCAGGTTTGAAAGGATAAAAAAAAATCCCATTTTTTTTTCCCGTTTCAGCTCTATGAACTTTCCTTTAATGAAATGGCTTCTTGGAGGAACTGTGAACTATAATTCAATAGGAATCTCTGCACACTACATAATTTTGTGATGTCTGTTGTATGGGAACCTGGTAACTGAAATTGTCATAATCTTCATTCCATTTGGCTTCTACCATCAGAAGAATGTTGAACTTTATGGCCTTTTAAATGTCTTTAAAAAGACCTGATGAGCAGTTAGCAGGAATTGGTTATACCTACCCTAACATGCTTTAGTTAAATAGAACATGATATACCCCCTCTAAAAATAGACATAACAATTTGAAGAGTGGGTAATCAGTCAATCTTTGTAGAGGTAGTGGAGGAACCAGACACTAGATTTCTGGTGGGATCTGGTAAGTGTAAAGAGATCTACCATCTATGCCAAGGCAAACAGATTTCTTCAAGCAGAAGATGACAGCTTACAAGTCCTGGCCCTGACATGCAAATAACTATGCACTTGCTTAGCTGTATTCATATCATTATATTTTTTTAAACACAAAAAATGTTAAGTATGTGCATAATTTAAGTAAATGAAGCAAATACTTCCAGAACAACAGTTTGATTAGTAAGATCCAAGTTGTATATTAATGTAGTTCCCCTGAATCCCAGCCGATGTCTTTAGCTGCAAGACTCTCCTTGTTTATGTTCCTAGGAATTCTCTGCTATAGTCTGGTAGGATTTCAGGTCCTGTTCTTGCCCAGATGCACCCACTAGTGATAAATAGATGGTTCCTCAGTACAAAGTTAGCCTGCAAAATTATGACTAGCTCATGTCTGACTAGCTCATAATGGAAGTTAATATCACTGAATGATGAATCTTTACTTTACTGTTTGGAGAACGATTATGTCTACTCTGTACCAGTTGCTGGTAAATGTACCTCCAAATTTCTTTCTTCTCCTGCAGAACAAAATGTATCCCATTCTCTTTATGTTATATCCAAAATAACTAGCTTTAACATCTGCACTGACTGTTGCCAAGGAACCAGAAGTAGCTGAATAAGTATAGGAAGCAGTGAAAAAGTATAGAGTATCTGAAACCATTGATACTGTCTTAAATGACATGCATCATGAAGTAATGCCTTGCCTAGAATTAAGAAAAATGTACCATGTCAAGATCATCCCACACAGCAATTTCACTTGACGTTGATTGTAAAAGGCTTTTTTCCCTTTGCTTTAATATGCAATAATATTAAGAAAACTAGGATGTAGGGCAAAATTCTTCACAAATAGTCCTCCTGGAATTAGCAGAAGAATGGATATGAGTAAGGATTTCTTTGGGTGATATCTTTTATTGGACCAACTTCAGAGTTGGGACAGAGTTAGATAAGCTTTCAAATGCAACACATTCTTCAGCTCTATAATGGTCTCACACGCACACTTTTTTTTTTTTTTTTTTTAAAGAAGGGCGTGCTGTCTGTAATAAGCTTCCCCTTTTCCTCCTGTGCTAGCCGTTGTTGGGTAGATAATGCCCAATACAGCACTGGGATTTTCTATGCAGTGTCACAGGCACTGTTTCTCCTCAACTCCTAATATGTATATTGGAATCAAGTGTGTTTTTACAAGATGTCTTGGATGCACTGTGTTAGCGGACATAAGGCAAAATGGGTATTCTGCACAGTGGGTCTCTCTTGTACAGTTTCTCTATCCAACAAAACATTTTAAAGTTCAAAATCTTGTCCATTCTTAGGATGAGCTCAGTACCTTTTTGAAGCTTTGTGAAAAACCAGAGAGATGAACAGGAAGGCAGAAACTGCCTCCACCCCTAATCACCACTGAATAGCCAGTTGCTTGGTGCTAGGGTCACTCATCTGGAATGCGGGTATTAATTAGTTTGGGTTAATTTGTCTCTAGTTGGATCTTTTCCATTTTGGTACATAATTAAATATTCATTAGAGTATGTCTTGAACTGCTTCGTTGTATCCTGTGCAAGTACTATAACCATTGGCCTATAGAGTCTGTCTCTTTGGTCCAGTGTATATTTAACTAGTTATACAAAGTGGAACATCTCCAGCAGGAGCGAATGAGACAGGTAGGCAGAGAGTGACTATATGTCTCAGCGGTGAAAGCACAAGTGACTGCCTATTTCAGTGACTGAAGCAAATAGCAGGAGTGTGTGAGATTAGAGATTTATATACCTTGTTAGAATCGGCCAGAGGAGGGATTTTTTGCATGCCATGTGCATATGCAGGTGCGCACACTCTCACTTGCACAACTCGCTGGTTCTCTCTCTCTCTCTACCAGAAATTCCAACCTGAACCCAATGAAGTTTTACTGCGAGTGGCACATTCCTGCAACACTTCCTCCCCCCACCCACCGTGGTTTTGATGAATCAGCATTTTCCACCTGGAAAAAAATTGCTTGGTTTAAAAATTCCTAGCCACCCCTCTATTATAGTCCCAGAGTAGTAAAACTCATCACTCCCAAACAGTGAGCCTGTTGTTAGTTTTAGCAATAATAAAAGCTTCAGTGAAGGCCACAAATCAGCTTCCATTATAGTATTAATATTTAATATGTTTTTGTGAATCAGGCTCTTAATGAGAAAAGGGAATACCTCATTATAGGGAAATACCTGTAAATAGTTTTAAAATGACATTTATACCATTACATTATTCATATCTGTATGTTCTTAGTGCCATAAGTAACACATGCACTCAAGCAGATGCAAATTTTAAGGCAGTGTCTTCAAATGTACATTTTATTTTTTAATATCTTATGTTTGCAATTTGAAAGCCTGGTAGGTGGATTTTTCTCTTCATAAAGATTAGACATCCAACCTCCAGCCCTCCCCTACAGCTGCAGCACAAGTATTCTTTAGCTTCTTAAGCACCAAATTAAACTCTCACTTTCCACTAAACTGTCATTTTGTTTCTTCCTCTTGATTTTTATTTTTAAATAGATGGTTTAAGCATCTGTTGAATGCTTACTGAAAAAACTCCTAAGACACATCCTACAATTAAAGGGGGTGCGGGGAACGAAGACCATCTTTGTAGAGGGAAAAAAACCCTTGCAAGTAGGAGAAGGGTTTGGAATGGGTTGTTACGTGCATCATCCTGTTGTACAGTGAGGTATGCCATCCTTTTACCTCCAGAATGACCCCTTTCCTTTTGCTGTGAGAAGCTTCCACTGGGGCAATAGCTTCTTCCCTATCAATGCCTTTTGATTGATCTTCTGGCGAAATGTCCTTTCCAAGATGGATGGCCTCTGCAGCCTGGGCTTAACAGGGCAGTGCTTTAGCTCAGTAGTGTGCCTGGGACCTCTCCTTACATCTGCCAGCCTTTCTGTCTCAGAATATTTTCATTCTGCTTGTGAACAAGTTGCTGTCTGAGGAAATACCAAGACATTGTATCTTCTCTTTGACGAAGCTTATTTTTGTCCATCCTAGTAGTAATGTGACTTTGCACTCTTATTTTGCCTCTTCCCCCTCATTTTTTCCTGAAAAATGAAGTGGGAAATTCTGAATATGCTTTTAGTATTGTTTGCTGTGGGAGGGCAATAACGTCATTCTAAAACATCAGTGGACCCAGACTCAGCTGCCGTCAGGCAGAGTCTTTGTATCCCTCTTCAGTCTCATCAGACAGCTTTGCCCTCAGTTGCTTCAACTATATCATTAGTATGAAGATAAAAAGTGATAATCCTATGAGAGTAACTATTTAATAGAGACAGGAAGAATAAATTAGTGATTCAAGCACTGAACTAGGACTTTGGAGGCCAGGGCTTTGTTCCCAGCCCTACCATATATTTTATGTCTAACCTTGATGAAGCTACGTAATCTCGTCGTGCCTCCACATATTTTGTTGTTGGGGTGTTTTTTTTGGGTTTTGTTTGTTTGCTTGTTTGTTTGTTTGGGGTTTTTTGTGGAATTTTTTTCCTATTCCAGGTCAAATTAGCTAAATGACTTCCGAATCCTCTCAATTGAGCAAAACTCAATCATTCGCACACCATATGTGACACTACCATTGGCAAGTATCCTCCATCCCAGACTTTTCAGCTTTCAGATACTCAGCTTCAGATACTCCCAAATCCATTGGCAGGCATCCTACATCTGGGCTTGGGGTTTGGATGCCTCTGAGTATCACTTGCCCTTAGCCAATGGCCACAGGAGCAAACTATGAAGAAGTCATAGTTTCCATCAAGTAAGCATGTAGCCAAGATCCTCCCACTGGAAGCTGGCTACTGAGAAGCTAATCACAAGACCCTTGTAGGGTGTCTTGTCCGCAGTGCATTGGACAGGGGTGCACGCTCCACTACACAATGCCATTCAGATCTGTCTAAGTGTGTTGTGTCGTCGTCCCCGTGTCGTCGTCCGTGTCCCCCCCCCCATGCTGCTGGCCTCGCCTTCCCCATTCTGTCCACTCCATTGCCACCGCCTCAGGGGGGGGCGGTGGAGCCAGGCACAGCTGGCTTCGCCTCCCCCCTGCTCCATCCCCTGTATCCCTGCCATTGTGGCAGTGCTCCACCACACTGCCACCTGTTTGAATGCTTATTTGCACTCTATTTGGCTGTTTCAGTCAGCCAGTAAGAGTGCGAATAAAGCATTATGGACAGACAGACAGGCAGACAGATTAAGGCTTTTATAATATTAGAATTATTCTTCAATTTTGATCCAAATAAGGCTTATTTGCATGCTTATTTGCATATTAGACACCAGCAAGTATGCAAAGATCTCTTCTTCTTTACTTTATATTGCTCACCATAAATAGGAGTGAGTGAGCAAGAACTGTATCACACATCTCCGCATTGCCAGCACTAGGAGGGGAAGAGAGGAAGGGGCTCCTCCCCATGCTGAAGCCCAGCTCCCATGGAAGGGGACCCCTAATCCTCCTCTTCTTGCCTAGGGCCCCAAAAAGTATGAATCCACCTCTGGATTAAGTTACTATAGTTTAGCTTTCACTTACCTCAGGGGAAGTAAAAGCCAGTTGCTACAGGATTTGTCTTTGCCCCCTTTAGCCATGTGCTCTCTGCTCATTGTACTGTTTGTATCATCAAGGAAAGATACTTCATTTCACCTGTGCTTTCTCTGGTTTGTGAGTTCTTCAGACCAGTCATTGCCTTACTGTGTATATCACCAAGTGTAATCTGGTCCCAGCCTGGATTGTAGCTCCAGGCACCATGTTATTATCAATTAATTAGTAATAGCGAATAATCGTGTGTTTTGATACGCCCCAAAGAGGGCACTCTCTAAGCATATAGCATCACTTTTCATTGCTCTCTCTACTTTTTGTTGTTAAAACTCCTGAAAACAAGAAGGCTCAAGGGAGGGAAATGTCAATATTTATTTTTTAGAATTACTTTACCCAAATATAGTACCTTGGCAAGGTAACGTTTGGGCAAGATGCCCATTCAACTCCTGTCCTGTATCAGTGCTTCATTCTTCAGAGTTGTCAGCTTAGCACTCTTCAGCACTGAATTTAGCTCAAGTTTTAACAATAAATCGCTAGAAAAATTTCTTCACAGATGCTTAAGCAGAGTTACCTCTTCGGTTGAAAGGAAGCTTAATCTTTGATATGGTCCCTTCTCTTTATTTGTTTTGTAACTGTAAGTGGGTCACTCCCTGACTCTGAAGCTTTTGTCTGTTCACATGTAATGGTTGGCAATATTAGAAAGAATATTTCCTTTGTGTGTGTTTGGTGTGAGATTGTTCCAGTTGCCATTTAAAAAATATTAATCTCTGTAATACATGAAATCTGTGACAGTAAAATCATAACGCCACACGATGGGGTGTTAAGCACACAAATCCAATTAAGTCCCCTCAGACAGCTCTGGGAGTCTATTCCAGTGGGTATGGAAAATGGTTATTTGTGATTTTCTTTGACTAGCTTTATGGCATCTTTCTAGGAGTATCTGTGACAAGCAGCCTTTTGTAGAGGTTTGCATTGCTGGCAAACTGTTCTTTCAGCATGTGAATGAATCGCCTTAATACTTGGTTTTACTTTTTAACAGATCCTACACAAATGGGAGGCCTAAGTATGCTGCTGTTAGCAGGGGAGCATGCCCTGACTGCACAAGAGGTAAGTAAATCTTTCTCCTTCCGTTCTGCCACCCCCTGAATTGTAAGGAGCCCTGAAAAGGAATAATAGCCAAGATTGGATGGTGCCATATATGAGCATGGTGACTTGACACTTCCCCTCAAACTAGTGGAAAGATAGGCTAGCTCTCATTTTGATGTCTCTTCAGTAATTGTGCCAGTGTAATGCTATTGATTGACTTCAGTGCTGAAGGATCCATGTGGCCCCTAACTCCACCTGTTAGAATATTCCTGTTGTCACAGATAGGAGTACGGGAACATAACAATTCTAGAGAAATGTTTTGCAGGCTTCTGATTAAGAGTTGCTTATACTTGTATATTTGTACAGCACCTTGCACTGTAGAGCAATTGGCTCAACCGAGGCAATATAACTATTGGATAATATACTTTGGTTATAGATGAATTCTAATCTTGAAAAGATTGCTAGTGCTAAGAAACATTCAAGATACTCTAGGTGATTCCTGTTATATTTGGCTTTGTGTTTATTGTACTGCCAGTTCAAAAGGCTAGGTAGTTCAGTTGGTGTAATGTAAACATTTTGCATTTACATAGAAAACAAGTAAATCATAGAATGTGGTTTTTTTCTCCATAATCCCAGCAATGGAGATGCATGTAGGGTTTCTGTAGTTTGGTGGTTACTTATGGTATATTTTTTTCCCTCAGTTTGAAATTCCTTCATTAGGTGGGTCAAATGGACTCACATTCAGTAGGTATATAAAATAGGTAGTCGCTAGATCAGAAGAGGGAGTTGCAAGCAGCTTACAAGTAATAGCACTTTTCAGTGGATGGCATTACTTTTAACAATGGACCTTCTGAAGGAATCATGGTATAAATTTGACAGCCAAAAGAGTAGTCAGAGAAGCTGGTGCACACCTCTCACTTGAGAACCCATGGGAGTTGTGTGCTTACCTGTCTTTTTGGGCCTTGTAAAAAATCTTCCACTGATGTCTTTGATTGTACAAAATCAGGCTTTGTACCTTTATTCTGGCTTATCCCATTATGATTCGGTCTCTCTGTGACAACTGGATTTAGGGCAAGCCTTGGGTATTGTGGGACCATGAGCACAATGGGCTCGTACAGATGTGCGGAGAGCCTGCTCCAACATGCTGGAAATCCAGCGCATCAGAGCAGATTTGATTAATTGAGTCTGCTGGAGTACGGAAATTGACGTGCTCTGGCAATCTTCTGTGTCATGTGTATCAGCGTCCCCACACTGAAAAAATGGCAGCAGGACACTTTGAAATAAAACACACTCGATGAGCTTTTAGTTCAAAGTTTCTTGCTGCCATTTTTTCAGTGCGGGGACTCTGATGCACATGATGCGTGGGCACTTTTAATTAAAACACCTGGCGCCGCATCCCAAAACACATGTAAAAATGCCCAGTGTGTGTTTACCCTGTCAGACCTCAGTTGTCGTATAACATGTTTGGTCTTAGTGTAGGTACAAACTCTGTTGTCTTTAACCAACAGGACCTCTATTCTTTGGTACCATTAGCAGAAGGGTTAAATATAATTATCTTTTAAGGTAATCATCTGTCAAAAACAAATGTTATATTCAAACATGGAGGAAAAAATGCAAATCTGAAGTGCTAAAGACCGGCAGGTTGAGGGTAACTTATTTAAGAGCTAGTGTTAAGGGAGCACGTTCAGAGACGCACCAAGGTGCTTGTGTTGCCTCATTGCTGAGATTCGGCTTGAGTGGGTAGGGTATGCTTCTTGGCCAGGGTTCTTGGGTTTGTTATAACAGTAGTGTACATAAATCCAAAATCTCTTCCTGAGCTTACCCCGCCTGTGAAAGGGGGACTATGTATATCTGTTGTGACCATTCATATTTTTAACATGCAGCATAGCCACGATCTAGTCTCACCAGCATGCACACACTGCCTTCTCCTGGCCTGGCACCTAGCAACCTCCAGACCACCAGTTTATTTGGGCAGTTGCCTTTTGCAAACTCTTTTACATGTTAGTATTTACACTCAGATTCTGGCACAAGCAGCTCAACTCCACTTCTGCAGTAGAGTCCAAAACCAAACTAAAGGAAAATCCCTTATCCCTGGTCCTGTTACAGTTTATTCCCAAGAAATATCTTAGAAACCCTTCCTAAATTCCTCAGGCTAGACCCAGCCATGCTTTGTCATCAGGCTGTTTAGCAGAAGTATGAAATACCTGCCCAAAATAAGAAGGGTACTTTGTACCCAAACGCTCATTAAACACCTCTGGCAGCTAAATGGTTGATCCAATAAAAGATACCACCAAAAAAACCCCTTGCTTTGCTCAGAGTAAGGCAGGTTCTAGCAACAGGAGAAAGCCCAAATTATGAGATGGTGTTTAGGGGGTTAGAGACCTTGCTATTTGTTAAAATGTGAATTATTTATTAAATCTACATTAAAAGAGGAGCGCGCTAGTCTGAGTATTGAAAACATCTATTTCTTGAAGATTATAAAGAAATACCATCTTTCTGATGGATCATAGGTAATCCTCAGAAACTGTATATAACATACATTAACTTAAGGCTATATTAAGTGAACAGTAAGGAGCCTTTTTAAAATAAAGTTTTGCATTGAATTGCAAAAACTACAAATGGTGAAGAACAATATGAATATGCATTTATAGGAGAAAGAAAAAGGAATCAACAATGGTATTTGCAAACCAGCTCGGCTGTTCACCTGCTCTCCCTCTGTTCATTACACTTCCTGTTGTGTTGTGTGCTCATAATTTTTCAATATCCTGTACTATTGTTTTCCATTAATAGAGTTCAATGTTTACATTAGCACAGCTTCCAATGTAACAGTACATTACAATATAATAGGTATGTGGGCAGGAAAAATGAAAGACTTGAGCGACCGGATTTTTAACAAGAAAATTACTTGAACAGTGAACTTATTCTAGATTTACCCATAGGTTATATCAGTTGCAGAAATGCTTGTGCAGATTTGACCTCTTTCACCTTTTAGAACAAAGTAAAATGAATTAATCAACCTTGCGGTTATATTTTTAGTAGAGCTGGGTCAGAGCCTGATTCAGTCCTGATCTGCTTTGTCAAAAGAGCAGCATATGAGGACAAAATAAAATGGTGAGAACCGAATTAGGAAATCTTTAGAGTAGTGTGTGGACTTGCCCCATCTGAATCTCACTTCCCGTAGTTTGTTCTTTTATCTTGTTAGTAACGTTTTTTACCAGACTAAGAGCAACACCTAGTGGCTTCTGTGAGCTAATGCAGAAAATACCCTCAGAATAGTAGCACTAAACATTTGCTCTTGTTCTGTATTCCCTCTGCTGTTCTGTCTGGGTGTTTTATCATACTAAAATCTTTTAGTGGCATTGTGTGTAAATATGGTGTCAGGCACTGGAGTTTCTTTTCTCCTTTCCTTTTTTGATAATTCATTAGGAAAAGCAAGAATATGGGAAAGTTATCCTCATGCTTGCTTTTTTTTCTACTTGGGAAGGAAGTGAATCTCCCATGCTCTCTTGAGTTTGGATAAAGAGCCACATGATTTGAGGTGTGAATCGCAAGTGATTTGTGTTAGCTGAGGGAAGTTCACTACCGACTTGCAGTGGGCAAAAGAGGAGAATCATACAAAAATGGAAGATTTTTAATAATAGCATTAGTGATCACCCTCATAATTTTAGGCTGTGATCCTGCAAGGACTTAAAAATCTGCTAGACCTTAATAGTATATTGAGAAGAGCTACTTAAATGCTTAAGTTTCTGCAAGACTTTCATTGCTTTGATTCTAACTTCTTATCTCTACAACTGAACTTTAAAGGGCTCATACTTGGCAAATCTCTTGGTGATTTTCATTTTCTGTTCAATATTTTTTCCTAAACAGCCATTCTAAAGTTAAGGAGGAAAGAAAGAAAGAAAGAAAAAAAAATCCTTAGTTGGTGCGTGAAGTAAACACTCTGACATGAGAGACTCCATGTTAACGACAACTTAATTTACTTTAATTGATTTTAGTTATCCTTAACACACACTATCTCACTAGGAGGGTAATACGCAGACAACGTTCTGAGGGTAAATACAATATCTTTTATTAGACCAATTCATATAGTTGGAAAAATTCTTAGCAAGCTTTTGGGCAAAAGCACCCTACGTCAAACTGAGGGTAATAAAGCACTGGAACACATTACCCAGAGAGGATGTGGGATCTCCATCCTTTTTGGTTTTTAAAACCAGACTAGACAAAGCCATGACTGGGATGATCTAGTTGGGGATGGTCCTGCTTTGAGCAGGGGGCTGGACTAGATAACCTCCTGAGGTCATTTTCTTATTCTAAGCCTGATAGGTGATTATTGTTTCAGACTTAAAATCTACAGTCTCTGTCCTTCTACTATTATCTTTCATATTTTTGTACAGTAACTCAAACACCTTCTGTGTAAAGGGGTATGTGAAAGGGAACCTCCTTTGCTTTGTGTACTGTCCCAGGAGTTGAGCATTTTCATGGCCCTGGCACAGGATGGGGCTAGCCATTCTAATCCTTCCAGTAGAGGAGTGATGAAAGGCATTTTGGAGCTGGGACTTCCTCCACAGCTGAGGACATGCTTATCAGCAGAGTTGTGAGGTGCACAGTACCTCTTACCGGGAACTTTCACCCTGTCCCCTTCAAGCAGTGTCTGGAAAGCACCAGCACTGAGCAGGCTCTCGCTTATAAAGAGTCTTCGCTAACTGACACAAGTGACTAAGGTACCTGCTGCTAATCAGTCCTTCATACATACAGTAGGTAAGGGGCCTGAAATTGAGGACCTTTTTACTCTTGCCAGACTCCCCTGGGTGAAATGGCCTTAAGTTAACCAGCTCAGGAAAAAGGCAGGTTCTGTGAACCGCAGTTGTGCCTTCCTTAGTTATTACAATCAAGTTTCAATTGTTTACTTTACTCTGTAGGAAACTTGTAAGAGGGCTATGTGCTATTTTGCAAATATAATGGAAGTGCTGGTAATATACAATCTTTATCCATCCTGTGTGATTTTGTTCTGGGAAAAATAGTCTATCAGTGACCATAAGAGTCAGTGAGGCATTGAAGGTAGTCAACAGCATGATAATGACATTGTCCTGAGTAGCAAGTCCTATTCCTGGTTATTCTAATAGATCCCTCTGCTTTAAAAGTAGCAGATGTAGTTGCTAGCTCAATCTCACATGCCTTTGCAAACAAATGTTCTGCCCCTACTTCAAAGTTAGAAATGGCCAATACGGGTCCAGAAACAGAAGCCTCTAGCCCTTAAGCTGGTGACCAGTTGCAGCTGTCACACATTTAAAATAGTTATAGATCAGTAAAAGCAGCTGTCCCCTATGCCTTCAAAAATATGGTCCTAAGAAAGGGTGTTTCGAACCACCTGTGTTTTGGCATGCAACACTTTTTAGTCATTGCCACTGGCAAGTGAATATTGGTAAATCATTTAATGTGAATACCCAGTAAGTTTGAAAGTTTATATAGAAAATATTTGCATGGAAATATTTTAAAGTCTTCCTAATGCACACAGTTATTTTGGATATTTAAATATTTTGCAGGGAAGTATCCTCCCCAGCTATTATTTCTCATTTTGTTTGGTATGCCTGCAGTTGCACAAAATCGTCTTCCCTTTTAACTAGCAACTGATCAGCTTTACTTAACTCCATATCCCTAATTATACCATGCATCAGCAATGCCGCACACTTTTGTTAAGCATTTTTATATATATATATATATATATATATATAATATATCTTCTGAACCTACAGTTAAAACTCTTCACATCCTAAGCAATTGATATTTTGTAAGTATATTTCATACCTAATGTGCCTCAAATGAAGATGTTTTAATAATAAAAATTAAGCTAATAAAAATAGCACAAGTAGAAAAAAGCTGTTCTGCGGGTCAGGGAAAATTGATTGCATATGCATTTCTTGATAGTTGAGTTTCAAAAGATTTTTAATGGGATGCTCTCTTCAGCACTTCTGAAAATCCCACACCGTGTCTTTATGCACATTATTGGAGCAGTTGAAGACATCTGGCAATATTAGCTACTCATTTTCTTTCTTTTAAGAACGTTGGGTTTTTTACATTATAAGTCAGGTGTGTCAAACTCACCCCAGGGGCTCCCGCCAGGCTGGAACCAACAACAGCTGCAGTGGATCTGCGTCTGGGGCCAATGACATCGGTCAGGAATTGAGCTGCAGTGTTGGGGGTGACAGGCAGTGGTGCTGGAGTTGGAGGAGCAGGCAGCAGCCCTGGTGAGAGATCAGGCAGTGGTGTGCAGGGTGCGGAGAGAAATGGGAGGGAGTGCAGGTAAGGCAGCAGACGGTGGTAGGCGGGGGAATGGGTACAGATTGGTACAGGTCCAAGGGTGGGTGGTAGTGGAGAAAGCTAGGCTGGTATCTGCACAGCCCTGGCTCACCCCTTGCTGCTGATGGCCATGCCCACTGCAGTCCAGGTTCCCTGAATTCTGCAGCAGTGAGCATGCCCCCCAACTTCCAGTAGCCCCCAAGACTACTGTCAGACCAGGTGGAATGGATCCACAGGCCAGATCCAGCCTGAGTGCTATATGTTTGGCAATAAATTGCCGTATGTTACAAGTAAAATAAACTCTTGTCATATAACATACTTAACTGTTCTTTTCTGAAATGATAACTACTTTAACAGAAAAAATATCTCCTAAGTGAAAACGTATAAATGGGAGATGTATCCTTTGCAGGTGCATGTAGCACAGGTCATAGGTATATTTATGCATCTGTATATTTAATCACTGGGTTTCCATTGGGTTTTAAAAAACTTTTTGTGAGGTACAAAACTAAAATCAAACTGTTTTGGGGATAAATGCTTTTCTGCTATTTGATGGGCATTAGAAGGAATATTAAAAAGCTGATAACACCTTTAATTTCCTTCTGCATATCCAGGATTAGGAAATGTCAGATTGTTCATCGCCAGCTGAACTCTGTCTGGCTGGTGTTGTATTGCTCATTAGCAGGGATGGCCTTGTAGGCACCTCCTTGATGTTCTGTTCCTTCTCCTCTTTGTCCCAGGTGTCCTCGAGTACTTGCCAGTCTGATGCATCTAACTCTACAGAAGCATGTCGGAAGTCGCCATTGTTTCAGCTTGCAGAGGTGAGTTTTGTAGTGATAGAATCGCTTTTTTAAAGAAATCTTAATCTGTAATTGAAGGAGTTCTGGAGTTGAAAGCATCTAAGTAAAGGCCACACTTTTGCTTTACTCCTGATGTTGTCTATAGATAATGGACTGTGACCTGC